TTCAGTCTGATCGGGGAGCCACCTGTCTCAGTGGAAAGGCAGGAGCTTGGGTGTGAAGAATGAACCACGCCAGCCACAATGCGTAGGAGATGGAGTGGGACTACCCTGTGAAGCTGGCTGCCTTCTGTAGGAAGGTACTGCCCTTGGATCTTGGTGCATCAGGGTGCCCTCTGGTGGCTGTAGGTGTGATGTGACAATCTCAGAGGCTGCCCTTTCTGTAGAGGAGCTTTAAAAGCAGTGTGCATCTCAGGAGGGCATGACAAGAGAGTGGACTTGGGAAGAAGCTCCCCGGGCTTGGGGATGAAGGAAGAGGAGGACTTGGGAGGACAAGTGGGCAATGATGCCAGTAAAAATTGTAGCACTCAGGCTAGGCATGGTGGCACATGTCTTTACTACTAGCACTCAGGTGGATCTCCATGAGTTCAAGGCCAGTCTGGTCTACATGGTGAGTTCCAGGGCAGCCAAGGCCCTGTTTCAAAAAAAAAAAATTGTAGGAATAACGACCGTCATCCAGTAAGAAGCGCTTTAGCTCATGTGATCCTTATCTCACTCCTAAGAAGTGTGGTGGTGACATTGTCACTGCTGCTATCTTTGAGGGGCTGTGTCATAGAGAGGTATGGGCCGCCTAAGGAGTCTGGTGGCAAGTCTGGTCCATGGATCTTGAGTCCCTGCTTCCTCAGGATCCAAATCTGAAGCTCTGTTTGGATATTGTTTTCTCATGCCATTGACACTGGCCATAGGTAAATCCTGGCCTGAACAACCTGATCAGTAGTGACACTTCCTGCCCTGGGACTGCTGGGACAGCCTCTTGGCAGAGTGCCTTTTTGGTCATTGCCCACCTCCTGTGGTGTCTATACCCTTTAGATGTAACTGGAGTACACCATTCACTCTGCAGCAGGCACTAGCTCTGGAGTCTAAGCCCAGTCCACCCATGTCTCCCTACTCTGGACCTTATTTCCTGTGGCTCTTTCTCCTAGCCTGCTCTGGGTGTGCTCCTGCCTCAGGGCCTTTGTTGTGCTCTCTTCCCCTGTCTGAGCTCCTCTTCCCTAGACACCTGCAGGGTTTTTTCCCTCTGTGGACAGGGCTACTGGGGACAGAGAGGGAGCAGGGGCTGCAGACTGGGCTAGAAGCAACCAGGAGACTCCTGAGGTCCATCCTGGGGACAGCATAGGTGGAGGTCTGTGTTTTCCTCCTGCTTCAGGGCTTCAGTTAGCATCCTCCTTCACTGAGGAGACTGTCCTTGCTGAGAGCTTGAGGGAAGATTCAAAAGGGAGGCCAGCCTCTGTGCCTCCCTCCCCAGGGGCGCTTGGTCTGCCTTGGACTCCAACTCTCGTGACTTCGCTTCTGGCCTTGGGTCTCCCTCAGGACTGCTATCCTTGATGATCTGGTCTGTCCCTCCCGACCTTCTGTCTCCCAGCTTGTCATCTGGGTTTTAGTCTAGTGTCCCCTCATCTGACCTTGTCTATGTGCTGCATCCCCACTGGGACTTCTGAACACCTAACTCTGGGTGTGTGGCCTCAGTTACTTATGTGTCATCTTCCCTACTAGCCCCTGGGCCCCAGGACAGGCTCTCTGACCTGTCCCACCGGAGGTGGCCCTGAGGATGGGGCCTACCTGGTCTCCATGATTCAGGTGAGAAGTGGCCTTGGTATGCTAGGTAAGGAGTGGAGCAGTTGAGCTTTGAGGCTCCTGCCTGTCAGACATGAACATGTGTGCGAACTTGGGCCCATGTTTTGTCTGTGTTGAGATCTGAGTTAACCTTATTCTCCAGTAATTCTACTAACAGTGCATGGGTAGTTCCACGAGGTAGTATTGTCACACTCAAAGTGGTGCCTTTGCTTTCCTGGCTCAGCCTAGCCTTTGCCTTTCCAGCTTCTGCCAGTGGGTGGTGCCCCAGTCATGAGAATGAACTTGAGGGCACACTAACTCCTCCCTGGTCCTTTTTCATTTTGAATAAGTAGGCAGTGTAGTGGGTGGGAGGGCATGACGCCCTGCAGATCCAAGTCGGGAAGTCCAGGGTGGGAAAACATACACCCTCTAGAACTTTCTGTTTAATGCCCAGTCTCAGTTGCTTTGCTGAGATCTGTCTGTGTGTGTGTGTGTTGTCTCCAGCCTGTTCGTGTGAGAATTACCTGGGAAAGCGTTGAGCAAGGTTCTTGGTCATGTTTCCAAAGAGGTGGGTCATAGGAGGGAGGCATGCAGCTGACTCCTCTCCTCATCTGCCAGGGAGCAGGTGAGTTCTCAGGCAGGTAGGAGATGGCAGGTCGGAGAGGCAGGGCTGGGGAGATGGCTCAGCAGGTAAGAGCACTTGCTGTGCAAACTGGAGGACCCGAGTTTGGATCCCCAGCCCCCACATAAAGCTGGGCCTGGCCACATGCGCCTCTAATCCCAGTGCTGGTAGGGGTGCAGAGTAGGGAGGCTGGTGCTTCCTGACCAGCCTGCTCCAAAAACAGTGAGTTCCAGGTTTGGTGAGATAGCCTGTCTTGAGGTAAAAGTTGGAGAACCATGTGCTGCCGGACTTGGATACTGAAACCCTGACTAGGGGCATCGGGAATGAAGAAAGGACAGACACATGTACAGGAAAGCTAGGGTCAGGTGGGGACGTGCTCACTCTGATGGAAGGCACCTCTCCTCCCCACAGCATGTTATTAGGTACAGCACAAGGGGAGTGGCTAGATAATCTCTGGAGGAGATCTCTGTTGGTGAGCAGTCTCAGGCATGAACATCTGGGAGAGGGAGGAAGAAGCTGTAGTTGTTAGTCTTTGCACACACTGATTACTCACTCACACTTGGACTCTGGAGGGAAGCTTTGTCATCCCTCCTGAACCTCTGCTGGCTTTGCCACTCCTGTAAGGCTGAGGAATGCAGTAGTCGTCGACGTGACTGTACCCTTGACAACACTACTGTTCTCTCAGGGCTTTAGTCATTCAGGGGCTCCTCCGTTCCCTGCAGTGGAGACTGATAGAGGATGCCATGCCTTCCTCTGACCTATCCATGTGTGCACACATTCATAAAGCATATATACACACACGGGGGATACAGCAAGGGCCGGAACTCTTCCCTGCCTGCTGGGCAGCCGTTGGCAGCTGTCCTTCCATCGTGGCTCTTGGCAAGGGCTATTGTGAGGATTGGCTGAGAACTGACACCAGAGCTGCTTATGTCCTCGTCAGCCTAGTGGCAGCCCTGGTGCTGCATCCCGAGAAAGCTGCTTGTTCCAGTGGATGGTCACAAAGTGCCAAGGACTCTATGGAAAGTGATGGCTCACAGTGCCACTGCGAGGCACCAGACCATCTTGCCATTGTATTAGCAAGCATGGAAGATAAGCTGATTCAATAAGGGCACTCTGAGGTGCCTGTGGCCATGTGGCTCACTGCTAGCCTTTTGAAGAGGTCTTTGGGAATGTATATGAAAATACTGACTCTGGAAGTGCAGACCATGTTGGATGTGAGAGGTTGTCCACACAATATTGCTTATACTACACCACAACTGAAGTTGGCACGTGTCTAACAAAAGATAGAGAGTCCTATTCTGTCTGAGCATTAAAACACTTGTGCAGTGGGATCCTGGGAACAGGTTGAGGAAGTTCCTCCAGTACTGCCATGGACTCAGTTCATCCTATAAGGTGAGGGTTGTGGAAGGCCAAGCTCTTCAGGTGACTGGGTGGGTCTTCAGCTTTCATGAAGGGCTCAGCCGCCCTATTAATTAATTAATTAATTAATTAATCTATCTATTTATTTATTTAGTCTTTTTGAGACCGGGTCTTGTTTTGTACTCTAAGTAGACTTCAAATTCCCTGTGTAGCCCAGGCTTGCCTTAAAACCCTCCCCTCCCTGCCAAGTCCTCCTGTCTTACTTAGTGCTGGGACTGGAGGTGCGTGCCAGCAGGCCCTGCTCAATGGCCTTATGTTAAGAGACAGTAGTGTTTTCTTGGTCTTTCAACTATGAACCCGGAAGAAGGGCTTCATCAGACTTGAGTACACCTGTATCCTTATCTTGAACTTACAGTCTGAGAAATGGAGAGATGAACTTCTGTTGTTTATAGCCCAGCCAGCTTTTTTTCTGTTTCAGCAGCACTAACAGACTAAGAAAGAGCCTGTAGGGCTGTCTAAATGAGACTGTGAGGGATGGCCTTTTTGGGGTGAAGGGCAGTTAGTCAGCATGCTTGCATTACTATCTGGGCCTCACCATGGGGTTGAGACTGTGTCCCCAGGGCTCGCAGGTGACTCAGGGACAAGATGACTGGAGGCCACCTGGTGCCAGATGCTCTTTTAATAATTTTGAATCATGAGACTGGGTTATCTGTTTAAAGGTTGGGTGAGGAGAGGAATGAGTGTGTGTGTGTGTGTGTGTGTGTGTGTGTGTGTGTGTGTGTGTGTGAGAGAGAGAGAGAGAGGGGGGGGGGGGGGGGGGGAGGGAGGGGAGAGTCTGTTAGTGTCTAGTGCCCTGGAGATGCCATTTCCCTAGGTGGCCTCTCCTGTCCCCACGCCCCCTGTGGGCTGGCCCTCCTGGCAGCCACATTTGGCAGATGGATAACGTAGTGACAGTAGGCAGGTTATTCTCCCTGTGGAGTGAGGAAGGTCAGAATGTGAAGGTGTATCTAGGAAGTGCACGGCCACCTGAGACTAAAGCTTGCTCAGGAAGAGACAAGGCAGCCAAGCCCTGTCCTGAGGAAGATGCCCGGAAAGACCCAGGTGGTAACTGCTTCTCTTAGGAAGGGAGTGATGTTGCCCCTCTCCACCTCTCTGTGTGCTTTTTTGATATTCCTTTGGAAGCAGTACGTGTTACTATAGAAAAACAAGAAGAAATGACCCTGTCCGTGTATGACCCCAGTCCAGTCAGTGGCCCCTCTGAGGTGTTTGCTGCTGTTCCTCCACACTTAGGCCAGTGCTGTCAATCAGCCACATTCTTTCACAGTGAGGAACCGAACAGGCAGTTTTGAGGGAGGGGCTCTATGGTAGGGACTTGCTGGCCTGGGCTGATGGCTTTCTGTGGTCTTTGCAGGAGCGCTGTGTGGCTGCCCTGGCCCGGGTGGAGCGCACTGACTTCCTGTCGCCCATGTGCATCGGTGAGGTGGCTCATGTCAGTGCAGAGATCACCTACACTTCCAAGCATTCTGTGGAGGTCCAGGTCCACGTGATGTCGGAGAACATCCTCACAGGTAACTCCCAGGAGTTTCTCACCAGGCCACCTTGGCTCAGTGTCAATGTTCTGCTTTGCTTTTTTGTTGCTGTGATGAAACATGAGCCAAAACTAACTTGGGGAAGAAAGCCTTTGTTTCAGCTTAGCCATCACCTGGGGGAAGCCATGCCAGGAATTTAAGGTAAGAGCCTGGAGGGAGGAGCTAAAGCAGAGATGGTGGAGGAACGCTGTTTACCAGCTCCCCATCTCTGGCTTGCACAGCTACCCTTCTTACACAGCCCAGGCCTACTGTCTACATCAATTAGCTGCTAAGAAAATGACTCCAAGACATGATCACAGGCCAGGCTGATCTGGGTAATTCTGTAGGTGAGGTTTCATCTTCCCAGGTGACTCTAGGTTTGTGTCAGGTTGACAGCTGAAGCTGACTGACACACAGCTTGCTTATTCTTGGAGGGCTGGCCATGCCCAGGGGCTGGCTACATCTCTGTATGACCTCTTTGGTCCTTATGCACCTGTGGGCAGATTTTTCTTTACCCATGTTTTTGCAGTTTGCAGATGGAGCACTGGTGGGTTACAAAGTATACCTGAGTTCCTCTCCAGCCAGAACAGGATTCCTAGCCTGCTCCCCCTCCTTCTTGAGACCAGCTAGTCCATGGCCACCATCCCCTGCCTCTGTATCTACCTGTTCTTCTGGACCATGGCTTGTATGGCTATGCAGAGGTTGCTGGAAAAATCTGTCCTTGCCCATCTAGAAACCAGGCTTTTTTTTTTTTGGTTTTTTCGAGACAGGGTTTCTCTGTGTAGGTTTGCGCCTTTCCTGGATCTCGCTCTGTAGACCAGGCTGGCCTCGAACTCACAGAGATCTGCCTGCCTCTGCCTCCCGAGTGCTGGGATTAAAGGCGTGCACCACCACCGCCCGGCCGAAACCAGGCTTTTATAGATGCTGTTGGGTAAACCTTTGCCTTGGTTCTTCTGAGTCTTTTTCCTTGGCTATGGTAACCATGGAAACCCTTCTCCTCTTCCCCATTGGCACCACAGGAGATCAGAGCTCCTTCTCATGAAGTGCTTATGTTTCTTTTATAACCTGGCTGTTGATTGGAAAGACAGGCCCTTATCGCACTACCACCCTATGGTCCCACGTGCCTTAGAGGCTGGACTGGTTTCTTCCTTTTCTCCTTTCCCAGGTCCTCTGCAGTGGTGACCCCATGGAATGATGGCTCAGGGCTGATTAAGGGGCTCAGGCCATCCTGGGAAGGGCTAAGAACACAGTTGTCCATCTGGAACATTCTGATGACCTCAGCAGGGATAGATTAGAATGGGCTGTCATCTCAGCCACTATGAACTGAAAGACTGTGAGTGAGGCTGCTCTTGCTCCTCGGCCTGTGGGACCCTTTGGCATTAGAGGGTGCTTTGGATGCTGGTCTCAGGCTGTGGCACAGGAAGGGACAGCTGTGCACCACTAGGGGAAGGCAGGCCCAGTGCAGGGGGGGCCGCTGTCTGTCCTGTGGGCCCTCCTCTGTTGGGCCTAGCTGGGGGCTAGTCACCCTGAGCAGGAGGGAGGCTCTCGGAGCCTCTTGGTCTTCAGGCTGGTAGCCAGCCAGCAGACCTTTTCACTGCTAGAGTCCTCAGCTTCAGAACCGTGGGGCCCACTTAAATGGGATCCTAAACAGGCGGTGGTGGTGAGAGCTTTAATCCCAGCACTGGGGAGGCAAAGGCAGGCAGATTCTGTGAGTTCGAGGCCAGCCTGGACTATAGAGCAAGTTTTAGGACAGCCAGGGCTGTTACATAGAGAAACCCTGTCTTGGGGGTTGAGGGAAGGATTCCTAAGGGCTGGATAGATGGGTCAGTGGTTAAGAGCTCTGACTGCTCTTACAGAGGACCTGGGTTTAATTCCCAGAACCTACATGTTGACTCACGTCTGTCTGTCACTCTAGTTTCAGGGTATCTGGTGCCCTCTTCTTGCCTCCAAGGGCACCAGATGTACACATGGTACACATACATACATGTGGCAAAACATACACACAAAATGAATTAAAAAACAAGAGCATATTTCTGCCTCATCTGAAATAAAGCTTCAGCCCCGTGGCCAGAGGACACTGCATTATGAGTCAGGGGAGCGGCAGAGCACGAAGGTATTCTGCAGCTTTTGGAACTGTGAGGACGTGCGTGTGGTGCACAGACATACGTGTAGACAAAATACTCATACACATACAATAAATATTTTAAAATAATACAAATAATTCTTAAATCAAAGAGCCGGATGCAGCAGCCCTGCCCTTTGCATTTACCCCCATAGACCTTCCTTCCGTAGAGTCCCCTTCCCTGAGGGGTGGGTACAGAAGGCCTGGCCTGCCAAGGAGGCAGAGGGACCAGCCTTGAAGGGCAGACACAGTGCTGGTACAATCTCCCAGGACATGGCACAGGCATGTTTACTCTTGGTGCTCAGGGGAGGCGGTGCATGGCAGCTTTTCTCAGTGGGGCTGGGCCATTGCCTCGGGTCCTCCTGTTCCCTCCTTCCTGGACCATGGATGGGGACAGTCTGCTCTCAGAGCAGGAAGGGCTTCGAGTCTTCTCTTCATGTCTTGGTTGTCTTAGCCCAGAGCCCACTGTTGTAGACTGGACTCTGGCTCTCCAGGGTTCTCTGCTGTTTCCCTGCCCATATGTCGGCTGGAAGGAGAGCCTGTGATTCCTGCTTCAAGCCGTCTGATCCACACCACCCTGACCACATGCCCTGGCCGAGTGGATGAGTGACGGGAACACTGGGGCTAGGGGAGCTAGGTGCATACCCAGGGCTGTAGCCCATGGGAAGGCCAAACTTGTTATTAGCATGACCTGACCACAAGAGCAGGGACCCCAGTCACCACATTCCCTTTTGTTGGGTTGAGCTACAGTCCAGAGTCCACTGCACGAGCACAAAGCTGCTCAGTATCCTTAAATCTGCCCTGGAGATGCCACACATCCATTCATCTCTCGGACATTAGAATATTAGGCTAATGGGGGTCATTGCTGCGGGCTGCTTTGGCGACTAGCAGAGGTGCTTGTGCGCTTTGAAGATATTTGTGATGCAGCAGTCCTGACGTGTTCCACGGGAGGGTGGAGATTGCACAATTAGTGTGTTTGCCTCATTTTGCTCAGTGCTGTTCATTTAGGTTTAGCAGGCCACTTGGGTTTCCATGGAAACCAGCTCTTCATGCTGGCTCTGAGTCCAACAGGAAATTGTTATTCCCAAAAGCAGGTTGTCAGATTCATTCAGTCAAAGTGTGGGGAAAATATTTTCCCATCGTGTCTGGGTTCCCAGGCATGGGAGCCCACAGCCTTGTTCTAGGGGTGCCATGTGTCTGGGTGGGGTTGTGAGCCTGCCTTTTTGGAATAGGAGGGCCCTTGTGAGCCTGTCTTTTAATCCCTGCCCCCGCCCCCTCACCCTCCTGCCCCCCGCCCCCCGCCCCCCGCAAGGGGGAGCTTGACTGGGAGCCTGGGCTGTGTTTGCTGTAACCTTAGGGGTGCCCTGGGTGCCTATGGGAAGGTGCTCTAGAGGTAGCTGGAGGCAGCCTCTTCTCCAGGGTGGCGGAGACCACCGCTGCTGCTCCTGCCCCCCTTGTCTCCTGTCTCTTACTGTCCCTGCACTACCCAGGAGTCTTTCATGTTGTCAAAGCCACTTTTTAAAGGCACATTCACATATTTTCTAAAGTGCCTGGAACTGGAGAGCCCGGGTGTGTACTTAGGTATCACCAAGTTGCCAACTGACCTTGGTCAAAGCTCTTGACCTCTCTGGGCTTCTAGCTTCCTACGATAAGCAGGGGCATAGGCCAGTGGACTGTGAATTCCTTTGGCACCAAAGGCCATGAGCTGTGGCTCTCCACCCAGACAGCTTTCCTGCTTTGGGAGCTTCAATCTGCTCCATGTCTGAACTCAATGTCCCAAGTGAGTCTGAGCCCATTGCCCCTCTTGTGGCAGAAGCTCTGGATTGGACTATATGGGGGAGAAGATGGGGAGAAGCAGCCTGCCTGTGGGCACTGGGCCTGAGGAGCTGACCCAGGCCTCTATGCTTTGGGTGGTGGTTGGTCTCGTGCCGCCTCAGGGCCTGCTCTGCTCTGCAGCCTCCATATGCCATGAGGTTTGGCTGTATGCACCCTTCAGGCTGTCTACCATTTATTTATTTATTTATTTATTTACTTATTTATTTATTTATTTATTTATTTATTTATTTATGTCTCCTGCTGGCGAGAGAATTCTTACAGCATCTGGACAGGTGAACAGAATCTTCTGAAAGATCTGTACTAGTCGGACTGAGGATGTCAGATCCTCAACAGGCAATGGCAGTGTCTGCTGGTGGGGACTTGGGCCAGCTAGCAGCTTGGCCTGGCCTCATCAGCCTCCTGCGTCTGACAGGTCCTTGCTCTGCCGTCTGATTCCTTGCCACACCGTTTCTGTGAAGCCAGGCTGACTTAGCTTAGAGCCTACAGTCTGAGGTCCTTCCTCTGTAAGGGGGAGGCTACCACAGATGCAGCTCCTGGGACTACATGGGACTCTGGTCCCATACATCCATGATGGCAGTGCCCTCAGGGCAGGAGGCTAGACAGGACCTTGGGGGTTGGGAGCCAGGGGTGACGGCATTGCAGCTCTGGCATGCTGAGGGCTGGTAGAAGTACCTACCCAGTGTAACCAATGAGGCACCACTCATGTGGTTTTCTTCTCTTAAGGTTCCAAAACGCTGACCAATAAGGCCACCTTGTGGTATGTGCCCCTGTCACTGAAGAACGTGGACAAGGTCCTCGAGGTGCCTCCTATTGTGGTAAGATTTCCTTTCACTTGTCTCTGGGTAAATGCAGAGGCTGGGCCTCTCCGAGTTGTGGGAGGCCCATTTAGCCACAGAGCAGCCCAGAGGATCATGGGCTAGACTGTAGCTCTAGGGCCCCTTGGGAGCCTGGCAGGAAACTCCCTGGATGGGTGAAGGAACATGAACCTCATGCCCTGGGGAGCACTGGTTTTGCAGTGCCTGTAACTCCTGGAATGCCCCTGTCAGTGGCCCACATCCCACGGTAGGGTGTCCCTCTGTGTCACACTTGCTCATGGAAAAAAAGCCCATGATAGGACTGTCTGTAATGAGTGCTGGGTCCTGCTGAGAGCAGGCTGACTGGGCCAAGGCAGGCCACTCCCTGAAGCTCATGAGAACAGGATTTCAGCTCAGCCTCTGAGGCACCTGTGCTAGGACTTGGTCTTATGTGAGCATTTCTTTCCTCTCTGCGGCCTCTACTGGCATCTGCCTCTTCTTTTGGGTGTCTCTCAGTGTGTGTGTGTGTGTGTGTGTGTGTGTGTGTGTGTGTGTGCGTGCGTGCATGCGTGCGTGTGTGCGTGTGTGTGTGTGTGTGTGACTTAGTAAGATGAGAAGAGTCTGTGGTGTTTGTCTCTGGAGGGGTCCCACTACAGGCAGGCTGTCTAGGGCAGTGTTGTGTGACAAAACTTTTGCTGAGGAGGTGCAACAACACACAGATCTGCTCACTCCAGACAGGGATCCCATGACGGACCAAAGTATGGATAACCCCCAGAGGCCAACGTAGTGAACCAGGGAGTTTTATTGGGGTTACTTACAGGAGCAGAAATGACTCAGACAGCTACATCACCAAAACCTACCCCAGCATGTGTGATGGCTCACAAAGCTAGGAACCTGGAGCACACTGCACAGCCTGCAGGCTCACAACTCTCAACAGGTTGGAGAGTGTCCTTCCCAAGTGACTGGGCTGGTGTAAACCTCTCCCGAGCAGCTCCGCTGGTTTCTGCATCTTTCAGGCAGCTAGTCTGCTGTCAGAGTTGTCTTTGCTCAGAGTTGTCTTTGCAGCTTGGCTCTGCCCTTCTGAGGAGGATGTTCAACGTTTATTGCTTCTTTGGCAAGGAGGGGCCTAGTGAATCTAGTCAGTTTCAGGGACTTCCTGAAGCTACTTATGTTGTTTACCTTCCTGTTTAGTGAACTTCCCTGTAGGGTGGCATGTTTCAATGTCAGAGGAAACTGTTACGCAACTGGCAAGCCCAGTGGATGCTGTTAGAGACTCAGGTATCCGTGACCAGTTCTTCCCAACTGTGTTGGCTGCCTTCCTGTACCAGGAAAGAGTGTTGACACTTAGGGGCTTCCACCTGTGGTGAACATTTATGTAGAATGTGCCTTTAAGAAAGATGAACTGGGAGCCAGGCATGGTGGTGCACGCCTTTAATCCCAGCACTCGGTAGAGCCAGGCAGATCTCTGTGAGTTTGAGGCCAGCATGGTCTACAGAGTGAGTTTCAGGACAGGCTCCAAAGCTACACAGAGGGGAAAAAAAAGATCAACTGGGAGTTGGATGGTTAGGATGGGCCTGCCCTCGGCTTGCAGACCTACCAACCAGAGATGGGCAGCGTTGACACCCACAGCCCTTATTCCTTTTGGGTGTCTTCTCGTCTTCACAGGTGCAGGGGGGCTTCCCATGGGTGAGACAGTTCTCCATCTGTTTTCTTTCCACTGGATCTGGGTAACTTGGGCCAGTGGAGACTTACTCCTCATCATCACTCAGGGGTGTCCCCAAAACTGGCATCTCTCCCATCATTGCTCAGTGGCCAACTGGGCTTGGGTAGCAGGTCAAGGTGTGGTTGGATACATCTGTGATTTGATATACCCTTTCCCCCTGCTCTGTAGCCTCACCATCCTCCTGTCTCAGCACCACTCCCTCTCACAATGTGCTAGCAGTACTGGTATGCACCACTACACCTAGCTACTCTTTTTTATTTTTATTTTTTATTATTGTTGTTTATTTAGTAAGGGTGTTGTGGACTGGAAGGCTTGAGACAGGATCTTATAGTCCAGGCTGACGTATAGAAATTGTTATGTGGCTCAGGATGACTTGAACTCCTGATCATCCTGCCTACACCTCCCAAGTGCTGTGATTGTAGGAGCTACCAAATGCAGCTTTATTTAGTTTTTTTGAGACAGGGCCTCACTCTATAGCCCATGTTAGCCTATAACTTTCCATGCAAGCTAAGCTGACCTTGACCTTGCCATCCTCCTGAGTGTCAGGATCCCAGGCATGTTCCATCAGTTTGACTAAGCTAGGGATTTTTAAAAATGATTTATTTGTGTTTATTTTATGTGCATTGGTGTTTTGCCTGCATATATGTCTGTGTGAGGGTGTGGGATCCCCTGGAACTAGAGTTCCAGTCAGTTGCAAGCTGCCATGTGGGTGCTGGGAATTGAACCCAGGTTCTGCAGAAGAGCAGCCAGTGCTCCTAACCACTGAGTCACCTCTCTAGCCCCCAGTCTAGGGTTTTGTTGTTGTTGTTTTTGTTTTTAAGTCTAGGTATTTTTGAGAACACTCTGGTGACAGAACCTCCCTGCTTCTGAGAAAGGGCAGCTCAGCCTCGGCCTGGCTGTGCTGGTGCTGGTCACCAGCTGTGCTAAGCAGGTCTCTCCCTGTGAGCAAAGCAGAGGAAGGTGGTCCACAGTCCTGTCTGGGTCACTGTCCTGAAACTGCTGTGACCAAGTGGTTTAAAAACTAAGAAGAGCTGGGTGGTAGCAGTGCTCGCTTTTAATCTCAGTACTAGGGAGGCAGAGGCAGGGGCAGGCTGATCTCTGTGAGTTCAAGGCCAGCCTGGTGTACAGAGTGAGTTCCAGGACAGCCAGGGATACACAGAGAAACCCTGTCTCTAAACACCCACCTCAGAGAAAAAGTAAAAATAAAAACTAAAGAAGGCCAGGCGTGGTGGCACATGCTTTTAATCCCAGCACTTGAGAGGCAGAGGCAGAGGCAGGTAGATCTGTGAGTTCAAGGCCAGTCTGGTCCACATAGAGAATTCTAGGACAACTGGAATAGAGAGACCCTGTCTCAAAAATAAAATAAAATAAAAATTTAGAACTATAGAAGATTATTTTTTCACAGGTCTGAACGTCAAGCCTCAAATTCATGTGCGGCCAGGGTCGCATGCCCCGTGGAGCTCCAGAGGAAGTTTCCATGTCCTGTTTTAGCTCCTAGTGGTGCAGGCCTAGGGTGGCATCACTCAGTCTCTGCCCATCTTTCTCACCTTCCCTTTGGTTGTGTCTTAGAGACCATACAAAGGCTTAGGACTTAGGGCTGCCCCACTCCAACTGCATTTGCAAAATCCATTTCCAGAACTGTCCCCACTGAGGTTCCAAGGTTCTCTTTCATAGCCCTGTTCCACCCTGGGTGTGCTCCTGGGCCGCTCTCCCTTGTCTTGCTTCCTCCCACCCTCCTAGGCTGGGCTTCTCTGCCAGCTTCTTAGACTAAGCACATGACTGCTTTTTCACACGCCAGGCCCCTAAAGGCTCTGGCCAGTTGCATGGGTGATCCAGAAAGTCCTCACCACAGGGACCCGCCCTCTGCACGCTCTTCTGCAGTCCCGAGTGCCCACCATGTGCCGAAGGAGTCCTGCAGCCTTCTCGTTTGCTTTGTGTGTTGGGGTTGATGACGCATAAGTACTAGTTGGGCTTCACAGAGGAGCGTGTTGAAACTGGGCCACCAAGCTGAGGCCAGGGGGCTGAGGAAGGAAGCACACCAGCCCCAGCTGCAGCAGCTGCTGGGGTGATCCGGATTCTTCCCACAGATGCCAAGTGCGCAGAGTGGGACCCGTCAATTCCCTGGGGGTGTAGGCCCCTGTGTGCCCTGGCAGGGTCCAGCAGAGACCTGTCCTGACCCTGGAAATGGTGGCTTCCTTCCTTGTTCTAGGAGGTCTATGTACTTGGAGCTTGAGCTCAGGCTTCAGATGCCATGAGCATCCTCCTACCAAGTTTTCACAAGTAACATTCGTTCAAGAAAGTGTATGGCTGTCTGTAGCTATGTGTAGTACACACACACACACACACACACACACACACACACACACGTTAGTTACCAGGTATGGCTGCTCACTGTGGTCACTTTGTCACTTTAGAGTGTGACTTGTCCCACCTCCCTCCTCAGCCTAGCAGAGCACAGCATTCCCCATGGTTATTCAAAGAAGTCAGCAGGTGGTTGTGCCAGGAGGCCCTGGTATCGAACAGAGCAGCTTTTCTGGAGGGTTTTGGTGTGCTTCCTTTAGGAGGCCCATAGGTCTGAGCATTTGAACTGAGCTGTCTGCTCCTTTGAATCAGCTGGGTCTGCAGGCCCTTGGGGTAGGGTGAAGGGCCAGCCTTACATTAGAATGTGCTAGCAGTTTGCCAGCATGTAAGGCAGCTGGGCCTCTGTCTGTGAGGCTTGGGTCCAGGACTAGGCCCTCGGGCTCCATGCACACATAGCTCAGACAAGTCTGCGGGCACTATGAGGGTTTGAGATGCAGTTGTGTGTGTGTGGGGCGGGGGTTGGGTGAGGGGGTGGCTCTTATTAAACAGCCATTTTTCCTCTTTATTTTTGTTTATTTTACTTTTTAAATCATGTGTGTTATATTGTATACATGTGGACATGAGCATGTACGTCATAGCATGATTGTGGGGCTAGAGGACAAGCTGCAGGAGTCAGCCCTCTCTCCCTCCCTGTGGGTCTAGGGACCAGACTCAGGTTGTCAGGCCTGGCAGCAAATGCCTTCACCTGCCAAGCCGTTCTCTGCCTTCTTGGTTTTGTTTAGGGTAAGATCGTGTTCTGTAGCCCTGGCTGGCTTTGAACTTGGAACAATCTTCCTGTCTCAGTCTCCTATGTTCTGAGATTACAGTTGTGATACCTTTGTGCTTGGCCTAAAACTTGGTTTTTTGAGATTTTATTTTTATTTTTTATGTATGAATGCTTGCTTGAATGTATGTCTGTGCACCACATATGAGCAGTGCCCTGTGTAGGCCAGAAGAGGGTGTGGGATCCCCTGGGACTGGAGTTACGGATGCTTACGGGTCCTCCTCAAGGGCAGCCAGTGCACCTCCCCTGAGCCATCTCTCCAGCCAGTGCTCGGCTTTGTTGTTGTTTTTCTGGTGTTGCGGAGGGAACCCAGCGCCTTGTGCGCTGAGCTACAGCACCGTCCCCTCTAAAGTCTCTGGAGGGCATTTTTTGAGGATGTGGGAGTCCGGCCATTAGTTCTGGGTGATGGGCCAAATACAGGCAGATGCTGCTCTCGCCATCGAATGCTGGGCATGAGCATGAGGAACTAATCAGCTCGTGGAGGGGAAGGTTGAGTACCTCCTGCAGTGTCAAATGCTCCTTGCAGTAGGGGTTGGCTTTTTTCTTTTGAGCAAACCTCTCAGCTCCCTCCTTGGCCTACTTTGAAGAGGCATATCCAGTTGAAGGGGATGGGTAGTTAATCCCCACAGTCCTGCTCAGCTGCTCAGCCAAGCCTGAAGCAAGAGCATGTCTTTAGAAAGGAGGTCTAAAGCTGCCATCTGACGTGAATTTATGGTCAGAGAGGCTTTGACAGGTAGAGAGGAGCCAGAGGGCTTGGCCAGAAATGCAGGCTGAGTGAGGAAGCAGAGGTGAGGTTGACTTCTGGAGAATGCTAGGCAGGGGTCAGCATGGAGGGCTGGGTTGAGGGGAGAATGGTCTGCCTCTGGTGGCTCAGCACAGGAGGCTTCTGAGGGCAGGTAGACAATAGACTCGGTACACACCTAAGGCTAGCACCCAGCACCCCTAGGATCCCAGGGAGGAAGTGAGGCGGTGTGCTGTGTCCCCTTTATGGCCAGGAAGTGTTGAATGTCCCATTGATGTTGCAGTGAAAAGCCCATATCCCCATCATTCTGGGCTTGTGGAATAGATTTTATTTTTATTTATTTGTTGGTTTTGGGACAGGGTTTCTCTGTGTAGCCCTGACAGTCCTGAAACTCACTCTGAGAACCAGGCTGGTCTCTAACTCTGAGAGACCTGCCTCTGCTTCCTGAATGCTGTTGGGATTAAAGGCATGCAATATAGTAGATTTTATGTTCACACTTCCCGGACCAAAACGTCTATGATCCATCAGGAGTGCCTTGTGGGCTGACATCCTTGGCTTCCGGGCTGCAAAGGTCCTGCGTGCTGATTGGCTGGTGATTAGCAAAGATGGCAGGAGGGGTGGTTGCACTTGTGACAGGATGTAGTCAAGAATCTTCTGAATGGTGTCATTGTAAGGGCAGAGAGGGCCATTGCTAAATGACCATCAGTCTCATGGACTGTGTTGCAGTGAAATAATGAAGCAGTGTTGTTCCAGCTCTCATGTCCAGTGGTAGTACTTTTTTTTCTCTTCAAGACAGGGTTTTTCTGCATAGCTTTGGAGCCTGTCCTGGATCTTGCTCTGTAGACCAGGCTGGCCTCGAACTCACAGAGATCCACCTGCCTCCACTTCCCGAGTGCTGGGATTAAAGGCATGTGCCACCCCCACCCGGCCAGTGATAGGACTTTTTATATATCCACAGATGTACAGATATCTAGCTTTGAAGATTGTCTCTGGTGAAGGGCACACCGAGAAACTTTCATCTGGCCTGTATTCTTATTATGTAGCAGTCATGTCATCAGAAGAAAGGGGACAGTTCCTATTACAGAATGCTGGAAGGGAGACCTGGAGTCCCAAGGGTATGGAGGAAGGCTGTGTTCCCACCGTACCTGACCCTCTATCTGGCTTCCTTTCTACAGTATTCACGGCAGGAACTGGAGGAAGAGGGTCGGAAACGCTATGAAGCCCAGAAGCTGGAGCGCATGGAGACCAAGTGGAGGAACGGGGACATTGTCCAGCCTGTCCTGAACCCAGGTAGAAGCAAGCTGGGGAAGGGGAGGGGGAGGCTGATACTTGGGTAGATGCCATTCCTCAGGGGCATCTTCCTGACCTACCCAAGGGCTCACCAGTATACTTCACTATCCTCTGGGCTCTTGGGTGTTGAGTTCTCTCCTGGAGTCAGGCTTTGTCCATTGTCCTGCCCTGAGCACAGCTGGCAGGGAGAGGTGGCATTAACAGCTCCTGAGAGTGAGTCTGGGTGGGTCCTGCCATACTAGCTCCTTCCGGTCTCAGCAGAGGGCCACTGGCTCGTGTAGAGCATTTGTTTTGTTGACACTCTGAGTTTGCTTAGGAGCTTGTTTTTGAGCAAATGTCCATATCAGTAGCAAAAAGGTCTAGGGTCAGGAGATGGTCACAGATTTAAGTGCCATTTCTTCTCAGGCTCCCATGGGTAGACATTTGCCTCTGAGTAGCTCTGTCATCCTCACTATGCCAGTGACAAACTTCAGCTCTCCTTGTGGGAGTGTTCCTTCCCTTCTGCTGTCCCCTACCAGGCTGGTATGTGTTTTCATGCAGTGTCTGTCCAAAAACTAAACAAGGCCTCCCCAGGTTCCTCAATGACAGCCAGGGCAGGAGTCTTGGCGTGTGTCTGACCCTTCAGGAACTCGTGAGGGATTGTGTGGACCCACCTTTAGAGGGAGGTTTTCCTGGTGATGCTTGTGACTCTTTGCACCCCTGCACATACAGTTGCCATAGTACGCAGAGGATACGTTCTTTCTAGAATGTACTAGGAGCTTCTCCATCTTGTTGGAAACAGCCTAGATTCATTGTAATACTCGTGATTCTGTGCTGGGTTCCATGATGTCCCTGAGTAGAGGACTTCCTGACCTCCAGTGCCTCAGGCCCCTGGGGGTGGTGGTGGAAGTTTGTCTCTTGGCTCTCTCAGTCTGTGTGGCCTGAGCACACTCTGGCACTGTGGTGAAGTGGCCCTGCTGGGCACAGGGCGTCTCAGCCAGTGTCTACCTGAGTGTCTAGCGGTTTGCCTGTCATTCATCCTCCTTCCGCAGCTCCCTCAAACTGGAACTCTCGTCATCTGAGGCCGGTGGGGTATGCAGCCTCTAAAACCTTTACAGTTTGTTGGGCTATTTCCCCTACATCTGCTTTTAACAAAAGAGAAAGGCGGTGGGGGGTGGGGGGTGGGGGTGGGCAGTGCATGACGACTGAACTGGGCGTGGTGGTCCATTGTTGGCTGACAGTGACCGAAGTTGGCGTGTGAACTCGGGGCTTTCTGGTGGAGTTTTACGATCTGTTTTTCTGTGTCTTGTAAAATACATCTCCCTCAGCTGATTGGACTTGAGATGCAGCTCTGAAAAGTGTGTAACAGGAGTCACATGCCCAATCGTTACTTTTTTTTTTCCCCTTGGGTCGTGAGGATTGAATCCAGAGCCTCCCACAAGCTAGGCAAGTGTTCTGCCATCAAGCCCTCCTCACAGTCTCTGATAACTGCGTTTCTGACTTCATTTCCTGGCAGAACCATCCCTGTTCTCTTGGGTCCCCTGTGCCTGTCCTTCTGCCTGTGTGGTGGGCTCTCCTGGGTGAGCGGGCTGGTGGGGTGCTGTGTCCACAAGGAGCAGTGTGGACAAGGTTTGTGTCTTTCCAAAATGTAGCTGTGTGTCATCTTTCCTGGGGAGCTAGGAACACACATCTCACCCTAGATAGAGTACCAGCAGTGGAAGAAGGAGAGACTTTCTCCCACGTCTCGCTTGGTGAGCCAGTCAGTTTGACTGAAGTTGCTTCCAGGAATGTAGGTGATGGATTGGTGGTTTTCAGGAGTATTAACAGCTATACCCCTCTCTCTCAGCAATTGTTGTATACCCTGGCAGGAAGGGGCCACACACCACCTAGTGAACAGTCTTATGAATTCCCTCTCCCTTCACTAGGGAACTTTGTGGGCAAGGGTCCAATGTGGGTCATTAGAGCTACTTTTACTTCAGGGTGGCCGTGCCCATGTCATTCTTGGAGGACAGAGCTCTACAGTGTAGCATTCATGTTTCCCTTCCCCCACTACATTCACCTTTTGGCCTCACCCCTAACCACTTGTGCAGCTAGAACCTGGGCTCAGACAGTGTTGCCTAGCAACCTCTGGGCCACCTGTCTTTAGGTAGGTGTCCTTAGGGAGTCTGATACTTCTTTAGAAGGCAGCTTTCTGTGTGGTTTTCTCTGTCCCACAAGAGACAGGTTACTTTTGAGCTGCCAGGTTCATGACCATCAGCTGCCTAGCTTTAACACTGTGGTGATTCAGACCACAGGACCCTGTTTCCAGGTCTGTTGGGTTTATGATGCAATCAGCATCACCTCAGACATGACCAAGTGCTGTCTTCACATGTGCTTGAAATAGTGTCCACTTCCAGGCTGCCTCAGGCAGAGCAGCAGGGAGCCTCGGCAGGCCAACAAGCTCCTGTCCTGGAATGAGATCTGCCTTCCAGGGTCAGCAGTGCCCAGGCAGGTCTGCCTAGAGCCACCCCCTGGAGAGCAGAGGCAGGCCAGCCTGGCTTTTGGACCCAGTCCTGAATCTGAAGTGCCTCTCTGATGTCCGTGACCATCCAGCTTGGCCATGATCCTGGTTCCTTCAACTCTAGTCTTGGGGGAATTTGGTATGTGAAGACAGGGAGGGAAGGTTCTGGAGCTTGCTTGGCTTTCTATCCCAGTTCTCTGGGCATCTGATCCTCACTTTCCTTGGTGGAAACAGACAAGGCAGCCACTGAGCTGCAGGCGTGTGGGGTGAAAGGGCGCTGGGTGTACATGGAGCAGGGAAGGACTCCTGGCAGGTGGATGGGCTCTGAGAAGGGAGTGTGTCTGGAACCTATGAAGCCTTGCCGGAGCTTCCCTGGGAGCTTCACTAGGGGTCCCCACATAGTTTGGAAACTTCAGGTTTAAAGGTTAGGGTCATAGTAACTGCTGCAGCAGGTAAACCCAATATGTTAGTGCATAAATCGGGGTGCAGTTCTTGCTTAGGCAGACTTGAAACTGGGTTCCCCTGAGGGTGGTTCTCCTCCAAATGGTGGAGACTGGGGGACTCAGGCCCTTTGTTCCTGTAGCTTCGTCATCTGTTTGATAAAACTGAATGTAGTTATCATATACAATTCAATACTGTGAGTGTGTGTGTGTGTGTGTGAGTGTGTGTGTGTGTGTGTGTGTGTGTGTCTGTCTGTCTGTCTGTATGTATGTATGGTGTCTGTCTTTGGCATCCATGGGGAGGGTTTCCAGAATCTGAGGATGCATAAAATCTCATGTATAAAATGGAGTGGGGCTTGCATATAACCTCACACACTGTATACACACAACCTCCTGTGTACGTTAATTCTTTGAATTACTTATAATACCTAACATAATGTAAATGCTATTAAACAATAGTAATTAACCTCTGTTATTTAAGAAATAATGACAAAAGCTCCTCTATGTATGCACATACGGACATACTCCCCTCCTCCCAGTTCTTCTCAGACAGGGTCTCACTGTGTAACTCAGGCAGTCCTTGGACTCAGCAGCCTTCTGCCTCAGCCTCCTGAATGCTGGGATCACAGATGTGCACGGCTGCTTGTGCTGCAAGTGTGTTTTGGTTTTTTGAGACAGGGTTTCTCTGTGTAGACCTGGCCATCCTGAAACTCACTATGTAGACCAGGCTGGCCTCAAACTCAGACATCTGCCTGTCTCTGTCTCCTGAGTGCTGGGATCACAGGTGTGCACCACCATCACCCGGCTGTTGCAAGTATATTTGATTGGAAGTTGGTTGACTCCATAGATATAGAAGGCTGTCTGCCTATTGTGGAAGCTAATTGAACTGTTACCGTTCACCATCACTAACAAGTGGCTTTGAAGATCCTCTTGGAAGGGTCATTGCATGGGCTCACATTCCAGATGTTGGATAGGTCAGGTTTAGAAGCAGCCCACAGCTCTTCTGAGACTCATGAGTAGTGTGGCCATCCCCCTTGCCCCACAATGAAGCTAGGCAGGCGTGGTCCTCTGTATGTGTATGTGTGTGGGACAGGGAGAAAACAGGCCTGACAGTCAGTTGGCTCTGCTTGCCCTGCCTTCTGCTCCCATCATCTCCATCTCAGTGTCTTTGCACATGGAGAAACCTTATCTCAAGGACAGTCATGAGGTCCTGTCTAGCCTTGGTGGTGTGTAGTCCTCTCCACAGTGTTGGCATGCAACACCTCATGGTCCTACATCTGATGCACTGGGAAGATGGGTTGATTATGGTTGATGAGGGAGCAGAAGCCTGGGAACAGCAAAACGACAGGCACCTGATCCTGACTGAGCCACACAGTGATAAGCCCTCCAGTGTATCAGGCCAAGGCCATGGGGATAGCCCTTAATTGGATTCTGTTTCTTCTCTTGGGTATTCCAAGATGCCACTGCTAACTGGAAGCTTCTTCCTTGTTCATTATTGACACTGGCACCATTCACAGTGGACGCAGGGAAATAGGACTCACCACCCACCTGCTTGTCTGCATGTGAGGTTCCGAAGTGATTGTAAGACTGGACCAGTCAGAGCATCTTCAGTCCCCCTGTGGATCTGGTCACTTCTAGCCAGTTCTTAGGACAGTGACCACACCCACAGTTCTTCCCAGGCTTACTTTCCAAGCCTGTGCATTTTATCCTTCCTTACCCACTCCACTATTCCTCCATGGACAGACGTGGATGAGAAAGCCACACTATCTCAGGGTTCTTGATTCAGAGCTGAGCCCTGACAGGCTTTTGCTCTCAAGTTCCCTCAGCTCCAGGTCTGGAGGCAGAAGGTGTATCTGGTCTTTGATGTCCCAAGTGTATGAACTCAGCTCACTCTGGGTTCTGCTTAAAAACTGGCTGCTTCTTTCTGGAGCTTGTGTCTTTCCTGGTCTGCCTGCCCAAGAGCAATGAAAGCAAAGGTCTCCATGACCCTGCCTCTATTCAGCCATTTACCCCAGCACCATAACTCAGTGGGCATTTAATTTAGACATGCCTTATGCCCCGCCTTAACTCAGTGGACATACAGTTTAGACATGTGTGCCCTTGCCTTAACTCAGGAGGCATGCAATTAAGACATGCTTTTTGCCCTGCCTTAACTCAGGAGGCATGCAATTTAGACATGCTCTGCCTTAACTCAGTAGGCATGCAGTTTAGACATGCCTTGTGTCCTGCCATAACTCAGTAGGCATGCAATTTAGACATGTTTGCCTTGCCTTAACTTGGTGGACATGCAAGTTAGACATGTGTGCCCTGCCTTAACTCAGGAGGCATGTAATTTGAACAAATATGTCCTTCCTTAACTCAGTGGGCATACAATTTAGACATGTGTGCCCTGCCTTAACTCAGTGGGCATACAATTTAGACACGTGTGCCCTGCCTTTCATGCTGGCAAAATGGTATTACCCCCTTGGACTCTGAAAAAAAAAAAAAAAAAGGCTCTTTGGGCAGCACCTCATTGGTGTCTGTATTCAAGGCATTCCCATTTCTGTGGATGAATTTGCTCACAGCAGACCCCTTTCACGTGTTCTCAATGTCACTTAAAATGTAGACTGTGGGGGACACGGGAGTGGCTGTGTTGGACTCACTGCCCAGAGAAGGAAGCACTCACCCCAGGAGCTGTGAACCAGCAGAAGGAAAATAGATACCAGCTGATCCTACAGAGCCCCAGGGAGTTCGCTAATGGCCAAATGGGGGAGGAAACCAAAGAAGCACTGGTGCTCCTGTCCACTGAAAGCTCCTGCTCCTAGGAGCGCTGACACTGGCCTAACCAGTGTTCTCAGACAGGACAGCACAACAGTGGGGTCTCTGACCTGGGCACCTCCCGTTGCTGTGTGAACAGTCAGTTCTCAATGTGAGAAAGAAGGGAACCAGGCAGTGGCTTGGGTGGTAGAGAGCTTGTTTAGCATAGTTAAGGTTCTAGGTTCGATCCCCAGCACCACATAGGTTTTACATGGTGGTTCCCACCTGTTATACAAGCAGAAGCCCAACATCACAGATACAGACTGAGTTGGAGACCAGCCTGGGACACATAAGACCTGCTATCAAAAGGGATAAAAACAAGCTGGGTGTGGTGGGTCCACACATAGTGAGTTCTGGCCCAGCCAGGGTATGCCGTGAGACATAGGCATAAAATAAAATAAAACAATGAGAAAGATTTTTGTAAAAGACTGTGTGTGTGTGTGTGTGTGTGTGTGTGTGTGTGTGTGTGTGTGTGTGTGCGTGCGCGTGCGCGCGTGTCTGTGTGTATGTGTATACTCATGTGCCTATGAAAAGGCACAGGCATGTCATCTTGAGCCTTATAAAAGTCAGAGTACAACTTGTTGGAGTCAGTTTTCTCCTTCAACCATGTGGCTCTAGGAATTGAATTCAGGTAACTGAAGTTGATTGCAAGGACCTGTACATTGAGCGTACTGTTGAGTTGGTCATGTGAGGAAGATTTTTTGTTTTGTTTTTTTGAGACAATATTTCTCTGTGTAGCCCTGGCTGTCCTGGAACTTGCTTTGTAGACTAGGCTGGCCTTGAACTCAGAGATCTGCCTGCCTCTGCCTCTTCCTCCCAAGTGCTGACATTAAAGGTGTGTGCCACTACCACCTGGCCAAGAAAGGTTTTGTATGCAGTTTTCAATTTGTTTTTGTGTACTAGGGAATCAACTCTGTGCCTTGTGCATGCTGAGCAGGTAATGCTGCCCCCAGCTCCATCCCAGCACTAGGTTGACGTTTAAAAATATCCCTTTGGTGTTCACCACACGCAGGTCTCTTCGCTGGTAGAGCAGGTCTGAGATGGGCCACATTGGAGGTTGTGGGTGTCCAGTCCTGCTCCAGAACACACCATTCATGTCATTATGAGGCAACCAAGCAAGCAGAGGTAACACAGTGAAGTGTTGGCAGCCTCGGCCTCTCAGTGTCCTCTCAGACAGCCAAGGAGATGCTCGGCATTCAGGACTGTTGTTGGGGCTTGCTTTCCACCCAGCCCCCTAGGCAGTGTCCTCAGGGCAGATAGTCAGTGTGATACTCTTCTCAGCAAAGGGCTTTCCAGGGTGTGGGCTTCACTGCTCACTTCCCACTCCCAAATCAGAGCAGAGCCACGCAGAGCTGGGGAGGTGGGAGGAGCCCTGGAGAGTCAGGGGCCTGGTCTTCGCCCAAGCTCAGATTAGTGTCCCATGTAGCCTTTCAAGGTGTAAAGAAGCTGCCCTGAGGCCCAGCACCATCTGGGTACTCCTAGGTCCTGGGAGGTGACATTGAAGTGGCATAAGATAGATAAGTAAGACTCTCAGAGTCACAGGTCACCTCAGCTGACTGTAGTCTGCTGGCCGTTGGGGGCCCTCACTTGTCACCTGACAGCCCCACACAGTGGCCAGTAATGAAGGTATCTTGAGAGTCATATGATCAGACACCATGACAAAACTAAGATGCCTTGCCGAGCCAGAGCAGATTGGTGTCCAAAAGGACCTCTGGCTGGAGGCTGTCTTAGGCCTCCCACCTGCAGTGACCCCGAGGACCTGCGTTCCTTGTGTGAGTCTGAAATGAGAGCCTGTGCATTCTAAGCTGTCTCAGGCAAACGCTCTTGAGTTTAGAGTAAGTTTCTAAGCCGAGACCCCAGCTTTCTGGCTTTCTTGCTGACCGGCAGCTCAGACACCTGGCTTTACTGTGAATCCCAGGTGGCTTGTGCTTGCTCAAGCTACACAGGGCCCGCCTAGTGGGTAAACAGAAAACCGATGTCTGCCCTCTGGAGGCTGACGTCCGCAGTCACTGTTAGCGGTGGCGTCCTAGCTTGTGGATGTTGGTCTCCCCGTCTCTTCAAATGAGCTCCCCTCTCTGTGTTCTCCTACACGAATGCTGGCAGTGTTTGATTGGTTGCACCTTAACTATTCTATAACTTAATCACCTCTTTAACGGTCCAACTCTCGATAGTGTTGTGTTGGAAGGACAAAGGAATGGTGGATGGACTCATTCATCTGGTAACAGGTAGGGCCATCCAAATCTCAGGTGACAGCTGACACTTAGAAGACCTGGGTCTCTGGATTAGGACCACCCTTCATGCCACCAGCTGTTTTGCCGCTGAGAAATATTTTTTAAGGCCAGACGAGGACAATACCTTTGGGACCTGACATGTGCCTATTATTTGGACCTGGTCCAGCAGTTCCTTCAACAGCCAGGGCAGGGATAGGTGCCTCTTACTGATCCCAGCATGGTCTGAATGAGGGCTTCTCCAGGACCCAAGCTTTTGGCAGGATGGGTGTGCAAATTGGGCTGGGTCACACCTTCGGCCCTGACTCTACCTGCTGAGGAGAGGGAGGCTGGAGGAATGGCATCTGCCCCCAGGGACAGGATTTGGGTCCTGTTTTTTTTTTAAAGATTTATTTATTTATTATGTATACAGTGTTCTGTCTGCATGTATGCCTGCAGGCCAGAAGAGGGCACCAGATCTCATTACAGATGGTTGTGAGCCACCATGTGGTTGCTGGGAATTGAACTCAGGACCTCTGGAAGAGCAGCCAGTGCTCTTAACCTCTGAGCCATCTCTCCAGCCCTTGGGTCCTGTTTTAAGTGAAGCCTTTCCCAGATAGTTGGCAGCAGCGCTGAGTGACTGGAGCTGTGCTGTGGTCTCCTGTTCTTGGAAGGTTTGCCCCGACGACGACAGTCGTGCATTGGGGAGGCTGCTCAGAGGGAAGCCAGCCCAGACACCTGTCAAGGCTGAGACCTCCGGGCTGATTTGGGAAGTAGAGAAACACTGTCCTTGCTTTTTGTGTTTTTGGAATGGAAAGTTATCTGGATGATGACATCCTGTGGAGGATCAGAGATAAGTCTGGAATCGTCTAGCTGAGGGATGTAATGACTGCCGTGGGCAGGGTCTAGTGGGCACCACCATACCCAGAGTGCACTGTGACTCACTGATAGAGGCTCCTTAGTACTGCCTGAGACCTCCATTATCTCAGAGAAACCTGCCTAAGTGACTGCAGGCAGACACTTCTGGTGACAGAATGCTGGACAGTAGTGGCCTTGCCACTGTTGGGATGTGGAGACCCATCTGTGTAACAACCGATCTCTCTCCTGTTCTTTTCTAGAGCCGAACACAGTGAGCTACAGCCAGTCCAGCTTAATCCACCTGGTGGGGCCCTCGGACTGCACCCTTCATGGCTTCGTGCACGGAGGTAGGGATAAAGTTGCTCTGGCCACTGTTCCATCCTCTTCCAGGGCAGCATCCCCAGAAGGCCCCTCCCCTGCCTGCCCTGAGCATCCCCTGGGAAGTCCTTCCCCTGCCCACTTCCCCTGCCTGCCCTGAGCATCCCCCAGGAGGCCGTGCTGCTTACTGACCTAGTTTAGACTTTCATGTCTGGTGAAGTATAAATTTAAACTTTTAAGAGGTTGCATAAGAAATTACTGAAATACCATTGGTGTCTGTTTTTAAAACTGGAAATGAAAGTTGGATGGATGAGGACATCCCAGCAGAGGGTCACATGGAATCTAGGGACCTCAGAGCTATGTGGTGTCAAGGGTTGGCCTTGCAGAGTCTGGGAGAATACCCTGTAACCCACTGTCACTTGCTATTTAAAAATGTTCTTCCAGATGATCGCCTTTACTATTTTCAGTTATTGGAGATCTTACCTCTAACGCCATAGGCCTTAAAGGTCCTGGCCGGGCTCCTCTGACTGTGACACTGAGGACTTGGCCCTTGGCTCATGGAGGACACTTTGTACTTTAGTAATATACAATTATTTCTTTGTTATATAAGACAAATATAAGGAACACATCAGTTCCTTATCACATCAGCCAGGAACTGGAGACCAGCCTGGGCTGTTCCCAAACAGCCGTAAATGGATCTGGTTTAAGGAGACATGCCAGGCAGAAGCAGTGAGGCTGTGCAGATGACAGCAGGCGTTGGGAGGTGACGTGTGGTGTCAGGGTTGGGGCGCGTCTGGTCCTCAGTCCTCGGGTACGAGAGGTGCTTTTGTGCATCCCTGTCCCTTCTGCCCTCGTTTCTCAGCCTGGAACACTGCATTCCCATTCGTCCTCGGGCAGAAGACACCTGTTTTCTTGTCACCCCAGCTTGGATGGATGGCTTCACTGCAGGTTGACGTTGGTGTTTCTACCAGGGGTTCTCAAGAATGGGGACCAGATTCTGTCTTTACCTGGGAAGGAGTGCCCCACACAGACGCAAAGAGGCATGACTTACTTTTTTTTTTGGTTTTTCGAGACAGGGTTTCTCTGTGTAGCTTTGCGCCTTTCCTGGAACTCACTTGGTAGCCCAGGCTGGCCTCGAACTCACGGAGATCCGCCTGTCTCTGCCTTCCAAGTGCTGGGATTAAAGGCGTGCGCCACCACCGCCCGGCCTATGACTTACTTTTGAGTCGAAGGATAATGGGCCCTGGGCCTGCCAGAATCAGAGTGGCCTCTAGTTTGAGAGAGGTTTGAAGCCTCGTTCCTGTTTTCAGCAGCCCCGCTGTGTGGTTCTGTCTTCAGTGCACGACTGTTTGCCTCGCTTCACTGACTGCTGTCTGGATGCTCTTTTGATCGGCAGAGGTCCCACCCGGGGAAGCTAGTCTACTTTAGAGCAAGTGGTGCTTTCCAGACCCAGGACAGTCTGTCTGTCTTTCCGCCTCGAGGGCAGCTGTGTCCTTGCTGATGTCCCCACATCCCTTCCTCACTAGCCCCAAGTTCCAGGTAGATAGCAGCCCTCCCTGTCTTGTAAACACAGGCCTCTCCAAGACTCGTTCTCCAGCTTCTCAGAGCCCTGTTCTGTGAGGCTGGGTAGCTCCATGCTGCAATGCAGCTTGTTTGGTGTGCATGTTAGAGGTTTCCACCAGGACTAGCGATTCCATCTTACTGCCTCCTTGGTGAAAGTACACATCCTAAGTGGGTCCTCTTGGCTTGGCTTGTGAGAACCTGTTAGCAAGAGTGAAGTGAAATGAAGGAGTGAAGAATTCTTGGAAAACCTCTGAGAAGCTATGCTTGTTTACAGAGTGCAAGCAGTCCTCTGGTCTAGACACTGTTTACTGTGTGTAGGAAGCATTTATAGTAGCTTTATGATGTTTAATGCCTATTTTCTTAGGAGTTCTATGTGCCTGATTTATAAAAATATGTCTCCTAATTTTTACAGACCCCAACATTTCTTGTGTGCCTGTGAGTTCACCAGAAGTGGGTGAATAATAGTACCAGCAACTACTGTCCCATTGTGTTTCCTGTAGAGTGTTACAACAGGGGTATCTAAAACCACTTGAATCAGTCTTAAGCCATAATGCAGTCACATGAGGCAGCGGTGAACCCGGACGGATGTGAATGTGGCCACAGTCCCTGGTTCTGTGCTGTGGTATTTTGGAAAGGCGCTGATTGAGTGACTTGGTTGCTGGCTGGGCTTGGCCCTGATGTGACAGGGCTGTGGAAGATGCATTGGAAAGATGACCTTTCTGTTGAGAACCACAGTGAAACCCAGGTATCGGCTCCCCAGCACCTCAGCCCCATCCAACACATGGACGGAGCCTCCTCTGTGCCTGAGTGATCAGAGTGGCTGTGTCTTGTAGGAGATGGTCGTTTTCCTCTCTAGTGGGGAGTCCTGAGTTGGGGCACACTAGGAAGCATGTACTTAACCTTGGCTTCTGCTTCTTCTGAACCCCAAATGAAACTTCACAGCCCCTTCCTTCACTTCCTGGAAGTGCCTGCCAGGTGTCAGCCTGTAAGGACCCATTTCCTTTCTGTCCCTTTACTGCTCCCCCCCTTATACTTCCTGGGATGAGTGACAGGTATTGGGATCAGAGTGCAAGGGAGGGAGATTCTGAGGGGCCAGCCAGTAGCCCCATCAGGGTGGATCCTCGAGGAGTTGTCAGTTTTCAACTTCCAAGGCTCTAGCCTTTTTGTTGATGCTTTATTTCTTGAAGTTCATTATTGGGAACCTGAAGGACGACAAAGTGTCACTCCCTCTTGTCCTCTGCCCCCCCCCCCCCACTGCCCCCTTGTAACTACTTTAGGTACTGCGTCTGTCCTGAACGTCAGAGGCGTCCCCTGTCCTAGTGTGTAAGGTCAGGCTGTGACTAGAGGAAAAGGCCCCATTGCACCAGCAGGTCTGCACTTGCCTTCTGGGTAAGGTTTTCCACAGCACTCATGATTGCCTGGTCGTCTGGTCCAACCGTTGCTCTGTGTCACCATTCAGGGTGCCTCTCATCTGGGTTAGATGTGTGACTCCCGGGCCTTGGGGTTGCCTCTGCTGGTTTTGGTGGGTTCCATCCTCCATGGCTCCCTACGACAGATAGCAGGTGCCCTAGGATGAAGATCTGTGCTGTGCAAATGCCCTCAATGGCAGTAGCTTCCATAGGGACAGTATGGCCATGAGTGACTAGGGCTAGACTGGCAACTTGGTAAAAGTTTAGTGGGGCAGTCCTACAAAGTTGTGGCCCTCTGGATGGTATGTGGTGCCTGTCACAACGTTGTTACTCATTTGCCGACATATTCTCTGTTGTGGGGGTCAGAGGATATTTTCCTGGGTTTTGCGTACCTGAAAACATGAACTGGCTAAGTGTGGCACTTTTGGAGAGTCCTTCTACCCATAGGGCTCTGTTCTCCATCTTCAGCTCCCATGGTTTTAGCCAGCAAATGCAAGGGCTGGATTCCTTTACACCTGTGCATTGTGGCCCCACCTGTCTGCTGTCTGCTGACGTGGCCACACTGTTGTTCAGACCTCCGACCTGTTGGCTCCCCGAGTCTTCATGTGACTCCCCGTTGACCCCAGGCACCGTTCTGCTACCTGATGTATAGTCACACTGGACAAGAGCTATTGAAAGCTGTGTGAGGCCTCACCAGTAATCAGCAAGGTTAGGGGCCGAGAAATGGGGTTTCTGTCAGGCTCCATGGGGAGTGAGGTCTCACTACTGCTCTGGAGCTCCTCTTGGGAGAATGCCTCTCCAGTGAAAGTCCCTACTGCATCTGTTGGGCTCATGATTTCTACAGCTCTGACCTGCCCAGCATCCTCATGAAAAAAATTGCATCCTGTCCGTGGTCAGCTTGCTGTGACCTCCCTCTTCTGCCTGGGAGCCTTACCTGTATCTCTGTCTTACTAGGAGGAGATATCCGTTTCCTGTCTCTGCCCTCTTGGCCCATTTGTGTGGTTGGTAGTACCTCTTTTCAGAGCCAAGCCACACTCCTTCTCTGCCTACATCTTTAGGGCTGGGCATTGTGCTTTTTTCTGAGGACTGCAACTATGTCCTTGGGCCTGCTGGGCCCACCCAGATGGCTGGTTGTGGATAAGCTGTCTGGGTGGTCTGGGTAGCCAGCCTGGAGTCCAGCACGCACTGTAGTTGAGAGTACATAGCTGCCCAGAGCCCATTTCTCTGCTGTCGGGAGAAGCTGGGTGGAGGAGAACCTCATTCCTGCAGCGACTCTCTGAAGATACCAAGGGGACTGCAAGAGAGTGGAGAGAGTCATAGTCGAGAATGAATTGGGGACAGCAGCAGCTCCACTCCAGGTGTTCAGTGGCTCCAGGCACATTTCAGTCATGCCTCTTCATTTCAGCCTAGACGTGGCCATAGTTAATGTAGAATGAACGATCTGGTCACCTCTGCAGTTCATGTTCCCGGCCTTCAGAGGACAAGAGGTGTGGAGGGTGGGTGTTCTGTTCTGTTGGAGAAAGGAATCCTCTTGTTTACATTCAGGTCTGGGTAAAACTGGTTCTGCTCAGAGATGCACCAGGGCTGTAGCTAGAGTTTTCCTGCCTGGCCCACAGTCAGGACAAATCTCTCTCACCTGCCAGTCCCACAGCCACTCAGACCCGACCAAGTAAACACAGAGACTTGTATTGCTTACAAACTGTATGGCCGTGGCAGGCTTCTTGCTAACTGTTCTTATATCTTAAACTAATCCATTTCTATAAATCTATACCTTGCCACGTGGCTCGTGGCTTACCGGCATCTTCACATGCTGCTTATCATGGCAGCGGCTGGCAGTGTCTCTCTGACTCAGCCTTCCACTTCCCAGAATTCTCTTCTCTGCTTGTCCCGCCTATCCTTCCTGCCTGGCTACTGGCCAATCAGTGTTTTATTTACTAACCAATCAGAGCAACGTATTTGACATGCAGACCATCCCACAGCCCAGGGCCTCTTCCTGGGGAGAGGACTGATCACTGCTGAGAGTAGGAGATGAGTTCGACCTGAGGCTCAAACTTAGG